ACCAGTGCGACCACAACTCCGTTCTTCTAGTGTCTTGCACAGACACGCCATTTCTATAATCTAATGCATCATCATCACATATACCAAAGTCAGCAATACACGTTCAATCTACTAAATTACACACATAAATGAACTTACCCTTGTTGAAATTTTGGTCCTTGGCAAAAGCTCGACAAAATCTTCACGTGACAAAGAAAGAACCCCGCCACCAACACTAACCAATGTGTCACTGTTATACAATACCAAGTTCAAACAACACAACATTAGAATAAGCAAATACCAAAAACATCCTACAAATATGATCCAATTTTACTTGTAATGATTTCGGGAGGTACCTTTCGGGAAGCTCACTACTAAAAGCAAATTGAAGCATCTTTACTGCCTCCAGAGACAATGGTGTCTCAACAACAAAGGGAGGAGCACGGTACAAAGGTTGTGCTTTCTTAGCTCTGGGATTTGCCCGTTCGAATGGAGAGAGCACATACAAACTAGGCTTCAATTTAGACACACTACGTAGTGCACCTCCCTTTCGCCCCTTTCTTGTTCAAAAACATAAAAAAACAAAACCAGTTCATTAGTAACCACACCATAAGAACCAATAATTAGAAAAATTAATCAAGTGAAATACCTTCACAGCCTTGGAACAACCCTCATTAGCAGCAACACTTTCATCACTCAACAATATGAATTTCTCAACTTGCGACGCTTTAGGCTGCTTGCAAGGAGACTTTTTCACAACTTTCACAGAAGGAGATTCAGAACATCTCTCATCTCCAATTTCCCCCTCAGCTTCTCCCGAATTCTCAACTTTGGCAGTCTTGACAAATTCCAAGGTAGGAGAAATGGGTTCCCTAGGTTTTTCAACCTCACCCTTCTGATCGTTCTTTTTCAACTCAGCTGTAGGAGAAATGGGTTCCCTAGGCTGCTCCCTTGACAACGGATCACCTACAGTTGCTTTCACTGCCTCTATAAGGGACTTCACTGCAGTACCGATTTCATCTCTAAAAGCCCGAAATTCGTTCTCCATTTTCACAACCCGGCTCATTAGCTCATTATCTCTAGAAGCAGCATCACCCATTGCCACTCTAAATTCTTGACCAAAGTTGTCAATTCTACCCTCCATGGTACTAAACCGAGCATCAATACGCTCATAGAGAAGTAGCTCATCCCCGTCGGGTTTGTGCCGTTTCCCATCTACTTCTCCCCGTTTCCTTGGAGGTGATTTCAAACCGGCATCCTCAGCTGATCTTTTCCCCGAACTGCTGGAAACCTATAAATTAATTAAAAAGGGAACCAAATGTACCATTAGCATGCTCCAACTTGTCAAAAGAATCAAATATACTATCAATCTTACCACTTTTGTTAACAATAACTCCACGTCTCCGCTCCCCCAACTCATCAAATCCAAACTCCCATCAACGGTTTGGAAAATACCATTTGCATGCTCCAAGAATATTAACTACAAAAAAAAATACTATAATCAACATGATGATTAATCATTACAAATATGTAGAAAGTCGGGATTAACAATTATTTACCTCCAAAAACAGCAAGCAACCCGGTATATACTCTCTTTTAGAAGCATTATGGTCGCAGATGCATTTGACCAATTCATTGAAGCAAAAGGATGCCCAATTCTTCTTCGGAATGTCTGCAACATCGGTGACAGCGTATACCGAAGACAAGGAAATGTCCTCTCTTCTAGTTGGTACTAATAGCACCCCCATTACGTACAAAATAAACATTTGAAGAAATAGATCGTCGCTATCTTTCATCTTCGACAACTCCTTCTTCATTAAGCTTGTGGAAATCGCCTGTCGGCCACATTCACGTGTCGAAAACACTCTAAATGGTTCCAGTTCCTCTGATCTTCCCTCCACTTCTTCACCATTCAAGATGATATCAGTACCTCCCTCAGGCACACCCATAATTCGCTCGAAATCTTTGGCCGAAATATGCACTTCCAACCCATACGCCTTAATTGTGCTTTCTTCCAGATTAAAGCTCTTCACAAGTTTCTCCAACAACTCACGTTGTAGCTTTCTTGCTTTGACATCAAGAATACGACCAAAGCCACATCTCCTAATGGCCTCTGATTGACAAGCCTCTAAATTTGAGACTACTGAGAATACTTTCCTAGGAGAACATCGCGTGCTGAAAATTTGATGCCTCTTCGTCTTCATTATAGAACAATTTTAGCAAACTGCAAAATTAAAACAACAGAAAAATTATAAGCATGCCTTGAAACACGAATTATAAGCATGCCGAAGAGTACAAACAAAATACAAGTTCTAACTACCAGAAGAACTGAAAACCCCCTACATCAACACCTGAGTACACTAATTAACCATGAAAACACCCAGCTTTCATTAATTTTCACCCAAAATGCAAAATCTCACGGCCGTGACATGACCCGTGAGAAGCAAAGAGAAGTTTGCATATCTCCAGACAATCTCCAGACAATCACACGGCTTATTCTCACGGCCGTGAGAATTTACAAAGGGGCCGTGAGAATTTACAAAGGGACCCGTGATAATTTACTAAGGGGCCGTGAGAATTTACTAAGGGGCCGTGAGAATTTACAAAGGGGCCCGTGAGAATTTACAAAGGGGCCGTGAGAATTTACAAAGGGGCCCGTGATAATTTACAAAGGGGACCGTGATAATTTACAAAGGGGCCCGTGAGAATTTACAAAGGGGCCCGTAAGAATTAACAATGGGGCCGTGAGATGCCCATCATCCATATCCAAAAACACGGCTCATCTCACGGCCGTGACACTGTCGAAGGCAACCCGTGAAAACCTCTGGGAAACTGAGAAGTGTGTTTTTACATACACGGTCTCTCTCACGGCCTATCTCATAGCCGTGATATTTCCAGAATTACATCCACGGTCTCTCTCACAGCCGTGATATTTCCAGAAACCACACACAACTTACAACTTTTGAGAGCTAAATAACATGACCACGAGCATAGCCACTAAGCTTTCCATAACCCATGACACCACCATAAACACTCGCTCTATTTCCATCCAAACTGGCTAAAACTGAAGTCACCCTGATTTCATGAAATAGTTCTTGACTAACACACTCAATTGCACCTTTCATGCAGCCAAGCAAGACCCTTCAATTAACAGTCCAAAATGTAATCAACAAGCAACGGTAACGACACTACAAACCCTGAAAATAACTCGAACTCTAGTGGGATGTGGGAGATAAAAATTGACTATTAAGTAAACTCTACAAACCCATTCCTTACATCCCTAAAACCCAATCAAGACCAAAGAACTAAAGAAGCAAGCAGAACAACCCCAGCACAGTTATTCTCTTCAGTTTGAAAGCAAAGGCAACAACGAAATGAACAATACAAAATGAGATCGAGGCACGGAATGTACAATAAAGAATAAAACTGGGAGTAACTCCCAAGCTGCCGTATATTCTAAGGCCAACAGACCTCCTGTATTTGCATATCGATCAGCCACAACCATGCTCTAAATATCCTAACTAAGTTTGACCTTAATGTCTCATCATTCATGGAAGCTCTTTTACCCACTGCACTAAACTTCTTTTCTACATTATATACACAATTCTAACTCCACATACAGTCCCTTCGGATACATCCGATAACTCCACAAACAGAAAACTCATACTATGAAGTGAACAGTTAAGATAAGCACCCATTTCTGTTGGTTAATCGCATGCTTGGAGCCACTAACCATAGCAAAGAGACTTAAATCAATCAAACAAATCATGGTTTTCAAACTTAACTACATTCATCAATTGGCTAAACAGAGAAAAATTCCCAACTTTCTCAGTGAACACGGCCTTTCTATCTACCATATCATATCATATCAATCCTCCCACGAAGAAGATGGAAGAACTACAACAACAACATCCATCCAAAGCTTCCTCACCAAAGGAAGCATCATCAACAACCACAACCGCAACCACAACAACAACAACCACAACTGCTGTGAATTCTTCAGACTCGAATTCTTCTACCCTAACAACAGAAGAACCCAATGCTCCTCCTCAACAGAAGAAGATTGAGGAACAACAACAACAACAACAAAAGCCTGCTAAGGATGTTGCTGAAACGGAGACAAATCAAGCACAACCTCAACAGCAAAAACAAGGTGAAGAGAAGGTAAATGCTGCAAATTCTCCTTCAAAACAAGTGAAGGAACAACAGGAACCGCCATTGCAGCTAATTATCAAGCTAAACACAAAGAAGATAGTACTAACCGAAAAAAGTTGCGGTGGAGGAGGTAGGTCAGCGGTCTTCGTTTGCTATCGATGGGAAGAGGGGTTTTGTGCAGAGTCTTCGTTAGCTATCGATGGGAAGAGGGTCTTCGTTTGCAATCGACGAAGAGATGCTCGCTCTCGTCGTCCCTTGCTCGCCGCCTTCACTGTCGTCGTCGGAATCTGGAATCCGAATCGCCGCCTTCACTGCCGCCTTCTACTCGTCGTCACCCACTGCTCGCCGTCTTCACTCGTCGTCACCCACTGCTCGCCGTCTTCACTCGTCGTCACCCACTGCTCGTCGTCTTCACTGCTCGCTAGCTGCGTGGAGAGGATCGAAGGAAGGAAGAGGATCGAAGGAAGAAGGGTTTCGGCGGTGAGAAGAATGGTTTCCAAGGAAGATAGTGTTTGTCTCAATTGGTTTCAGACAACCGGTTGTACCGGTTATCACACACAAATAAAATAATAATTTAGTAATTTAAATAAAATCTAATGGTTGATATAGTTTGAACATGATCTAATGGCTGTAAATATTTTATAGTACCAATACTATAAAGCACACTAAAATGCCTCTAACTAATTATAGTGACCAAGAATGGAATTAAATATTTACAGTGACCAAACGTGAACGTTTTTAGTAATCTCAGTGACCAACCTTGCAATTTACCCAATTTGTCCCCATAGCAGAAATGACGTCTCAACCGTCATCTGTGTATTTAATCTCAAGTCAGATAAAAACAAAAAATTGATTCGCTTTAAATTTCCAAATCCAAGAAAAAAGATGCCGCAGTTGACTCTCCTCTCTGCGGAATATAAGCACTGGTTGGACGGTCGAGTAATCCCGATTGTCATCGCTCTTCTTCCCAACTTTGGCAACACAGAGAAGGAAAAAGGGGGGGAAACAATAATGGGTCCTCTCGCAATCCTTGTCTGCTTCAGCTGCCCAATCCTTGTTCTGGGTTTGCTCGCATTCCTGAACAAGACGCTAAGGAAGCCAATCCTGCGTCAACGAGAGTTCAATGCGCGAGGAATCAGAGGCCCACCGTACAAATTCCTATTCGGAAACGCCAGAGAGATTCAGAAGATGAAAACGGCCGCCGCGGCCAAACCCATGTCTAATCTATCCCACGAAATTCGTACAAGGTTGGAGCCTCATCTGGCCACCTGGACAGAGGCGTACGGTAAGAGCTTGCTGTTGCTGAGCCCTTTTCGGATTCTCTGTACCCATTAATTTGTTGTTGCTGTTGATGAGTGGATCCTGTGGACAGGCAAGAATTTCGTGTTCTGGATGGGGCCTGAGCCCATCCTGGTAGTGACGGAGCCAGAGCTGGTGAAAGTGGTGGGGAATGATGCAGAGAAGGTGTATCAGAAATTGGAGTCCGAGGGTTACATCAAGAAGCTGTTTGGAGATGGGCTGGTGACGTCGAGAGGAGAAAAGTGGGCCAAGATGAGGAAATTGGTCAACCACGCTTTCCAGGGCGACAGCCTAAAGAGCATGGTTCCAGCAATGGTCGCTAGCACGCAGGTGATGCTGCAGAGGTGGGAGGATCATGTAGGGGAAGAGATTGAGGTGTTTGAAGAATTCAGCTTGTTTACAGCTGAAGTGATCTCGAGGACTGCTTTCGGGAGTAGTTACTTTCAAGGGAAGCTCGTCTTTGAGGGAATAACCAAGCTGCTCCATCTCGCAACTAAAAATGCTTTCAACATCCAGATTCCCGGCTTGAGGTCAACTTCTTTACTCTCTCTCTCTCTCTCTCTCTCTCTCTCTCTCTCTCTTTTTGGTACTTTCTGGTCGTGATTAATAATATTTGGTTCCCTTGTTACTCCTAATCCCGAGCCCAGCCTACCTCATCACAAGATCTTCGGTACGCTTGATAATTAAAGATGAGTTTGCAATGTAGAAGCTTCTAATTTTGCTTAATGACTCAATCCGTTTCCGGTAAAGATTGTAAAAGCATACTCGAGTTTATACCCGGAAAAGTTAGCAGTATAGCATTTTGTACTAAATTTGTGGTGTTAGTACCCTATCCAAATTGGGAGAGGAAGTTATATGGAGAAAGCAACAGAAACCTACCTAGAAAAGAGACTCTGGTCGCTCATATTCTTTAATCATTTCCTAGTTGTCATTTTTGCTTAATGTCTATGTTTAACTTGCAGCAAGGTTTACAAATCCAAGGATGAGATTGAAGCAGAGAAACTTGAGCAACAAATACGGGACGTGATCATTGCAATGGTCACAAAACGCGAGGAGATGGTGACGAATGGAGATTTAGATAGTTGTGGAAGTGATTTCCTAGGATTACTTGTAAAGGCTCGTTACGAAGATGATGAATCCAAGAGAATTTCTGTGGATGACGTGGTTGACGAATGCAAGACATTCTATCTTACTGGACATGAAACATGTAACATTTTGCTCACATGGGCAATGTTACTTTTGTCGATCCATACAGATTGGCAAGAAGAAGCAAGAAAAGAAGTCATGACTCATTTCGGCAGTAGAACTCCTGATGCAGATGGTATTATGAAGCTCAAAACGGTAAGGAACTGGTACGAAGAATACCTTATTATTATTATTATTATTATTATTATTATTATTATTATTATTATTCAAATTGGTAACTGTGTCAATATTTCATTTCACTTTGCTAAAAAAAATTATTTCAAGTCCTTGCCCCTATGACATGTAACTTGACATGTCAGTTTCTTATTTTTATATTTGTTGAGAAGGTTGACATTATCATTTGCATTGTGTTTCATGCTTGTAGATGACCATGATCATAAACGAGATCTTACGTTTGTACCCTCCTGCATTTGAAATGATGCGAAAAGTGGAGAAGGAAGTTCGGCTTGGGAACTTCCTTGTTCCGGCTAATACAAATATAATCATCTCATATTTGTCACTTCATCATGACCCTAAAATCTGGGGAGAAGATGTGCACCTTTTTAAGCCAGAAAGGTTCTCTGAAGGGCTTGCCAAAGCAACAAACAACGTCCAATCTGTGCACATCCCTTTCGGGGTGCAAGTTATCCTCCAAGCTCTGTGTGGCTGGTGAATTTTAACCCTGCACCTATAGACGAGGAGTGAGTAAGTTGTGTCTTATCAGTTTTCTCTACATGGCCACCTTATTCTTGCAAAATTAGACAAACATCAGGGCTAATCCCACAAGAATTCTTGCTCAAGATACAAGGTAGGGACTAAGGAGACTCTTATGGCTTTCACTTGTATACTAGTACTCAAATAAATTTCTTCTTGTTTCTTTGTGATAATTGTGAGCGAACTGACAACCAATAGTATTCACTAAACTCTACTCATATTTTTCATCTAAAAAAAATGAGTAGGATACCACTCATCTACATGCACAACATGTGTTATAATTTTAAACTTTCTAAAATTGAGGCATATTGTGTACTATCTCTCTTTTGACCCTCAACTTATACTCAATCGCTCGATGGTCTCCATACAGATTAGACCGCAATAAGAGGATTGTCACTGAATATTATTTGGTTTCTTTCAAGCCATATTTTCCAGCGCGTCGCATGGAGGATGCAGTAGCTAACCCAATCATTGATGTTGTCCGGCTTGTCACTCTTCCATCTATAGATGCTCGAGAGGATATCTCCTTCTAGCATATTGATGATGATACTCGATTGCCTGAGCTGTGACCATATTTATCTCGTGTGCCTGCAGTTAACAAAAATATGATCCACCGTCTCTTCACACCCCAAGCAGAGGGTGCACCTGTTAGCGAGATGTCGTCCATGTTTCTTGAGGTTGTGCAAGGTAAGAATCTTGTTGTGCAAGATTGTCCAGATGAAAGCACAGAATTTTGGAGGGAATAATTTCCCTCCAAGTCGACTTTGCAGGGAAAGCGGGAACACCGTGGAATTCATTATCAATTATGGCCAAGTAGATAAAGTGAACAGAAAAAGAGGACTCGTGATTGGGCGACCAGACTAACTAGCTCGGACCACATGACCTCTTAAAAACATTAGTGTTATTAAAAGTTTGGATCAGTGAAATTCTCTCCCTTTCAGCCCCGCTCTCAAACTAAAGTTAAGATCGATATTATAGTTCCAGTTCGTAGATGTTCGATTTGCATTGTCGGAATCTCAAGCATTCGGTCGAGTGACGGAAGCAGCGACACAACGGAATGAACCAGCAAGAGTGAAGTTCAGAATCCACCTATAGTTACAAAAGGAAACTCACACGCCGTTCCATGATCAATATGCGCAAGGTTCCAGAAAGAACCATAGTCCTTTGTGATATTGGCCCAAACAGAGCTAGGAAAACCACGTCTGCACCTTTCACTCTGCCAAAACGACGATGAGACTGGATATTTAATGGCAATGAGAATCCTCCACCAACTGTTGCTCTCTATGGAGAATATCCAAACCCGCTTAGCCAACAAGGCCTTGTTGAAACATCTCATGTCAGTGATCCCGAGCCCACCCTTCTCCTTGGCGGATTTGCAAATGTTCCAATTAATAATAAGTATTTTCTAATTATCTCTGTTGCTGCTTCAAATGAATATTCGTTCAATCTTCTCAATGCGGTTCACCACCGCGGATGGATCTTTTAGAATTGAGAAATAGTAAGTAGGTTGGCTCAATAGCACCGAGCGATTGAGTACATGTCGGGCGCCTAATGAGAGAAAGCGGCCTTTCCACTCCTCCAGTCGTTGCTTGTAGTTGTCCACAATAGCATCCCAACATAGAGGTGGCATTGACTTTGGTTCCGAGTGGGAAACCAAGGTACTTGAAAGGTTTCTTGCTCCACTTGCACGGGATAATAGCAGCGAAAAAGGTCAGGATTGGGAGCATCGCCCATAGTGAAGATCTCCGATTTTTCGGAAAAAATCCAAAACTACCACTATAAAAAAATTACAAAAATACCACACATTCCCAACAATTTCCAAAAATACCACCCTTCCACACAAAACGCACCTCGAAGGCGCGGTTATAAAACAAAACGCGCCTCCAAGGCGTGGTTAAAACACAAACCGCCTCTGGAACGCGCGATTTGACCCTTCCTGGCTGTCAAACCGCATTGCCACATGGCGGTACATGCAACCGCGGTATGGGAGAGAGATCTGACGGCCAAACGCGCGCCAGCTCACTAAAAAACCGTCGAATCTCTGTCCGGATTCGGAAAAAATTGTCGATTTCATCCAAGAAGAGGGCATTTACTATGATGATTATCAAGCGGTACGTTCTCATTTTACCCAATTGTTGTTGTTGTTATAATGATTTATTTAATTTATATACTAATTGATTTATGTTTTGTTAAGCTATCGTAGGTTGGGCCGGATGTTGATATTTACAATCAATGATATTATGTTGATCAAGGACCGATTGATCCGACTGTTTTATACGATCAATCTAATCCCCAACCAAGTGCTTTCAACGACCCCAGTACTCAACATGATCCTCGCCCCAGTTTCCACTACGATCCCACGCCCGGAAGCCAGTATGATCCGCGATCGAGTTTCCAATACAATCTCCGGCCCAGTTTCCACTACGATCCCACGCCCGGAAGCCAGTATGATCCGCGGTCGAGTTTCCAATACAATCTCCGGCCCAGTTTCCAGTATGAACAACGGCCAAGTACATTTCATGAGGCCACATCCTCAGCTACTTGGGCTGATGGTTCATACTTAAGTCCCCACCAAGACTTATCACCTTTGCACAACAACAATGACAACAACAATGGCAGTCCACTCCCCACCGTATGAACGTGGATAGCCCTCGACCGCACACGGAGGGGCCACCTACCACGGCACTGAGGCATCATAGCATGGAGGAGCGCCCTTCTACGGCGAATAGGAATCTGCCACCCGTTCCACCCTCAGCTACACCCGGTGGACCAGTCGCCCATCGCACAAGGAAACAGAGGGCAAATCGTCGAAATAATTCTTGAGTGTGACAAGTTGTGTTTATTTCAAGTTATGTTTTGTTTAAATTAAGTTAAAAAATTTCTTTTTAGTTGAAGTTATTTTTTAGTTTTTCATGTAGTGTGTTTGTGTTCGTGATGTGTTTTATACAAAAAGATGGAACATTGCATCGAAGTTTGTTAATTGTGCAAATCTCCAATGTCATTTAAGCACACAAAATACAAGTAGAATAACCATTGAAATTAATACACAAAGATGGAACAAATGCATGAAATCAATCTATGCGCCATTATCCGGGTTCACCACATGGGGCCCTGGATTTTGAGGACCAATTAGTCCGAGACATTTTCGTTTATCATGCCCGGGTACTTTGCATATGGAACACCGCCTTGTCCCTCGCGGTGGTCCTCCACTTTGATCCATCTCATTTGGAATCCTTTTTACCCGCGGGCGCCCTGTTTCCCGCCTAAGACCGATTGGTGGAATGATGACCATACCCTGATAAACTGGCCAGTAAGCTTCATCCGGCAATGCACGGAAACTAGTACGATAACTGCTCTTTTGTGAGTCGATGTTGAAGAACGGACTGACGAAATGACGAGGGTCATTGCTCCTGTGCTTTATTACAGCCATTGCATGGGAACATGGTATCCCTCTACCCTGATACTTCTGACAAGAGCACTCCCCCGTTTTAGTCCTAAAGTTGACGGTGACTTCATGGCAATGACCCCCACGTCTCCCATCCTCCCAGTGCCCAGTCTCGACCGAATACTTGCCAGCATTTCGGTTCATCACAGTGACTTTGTGACGAGAGCTCTTCCGATTATCTCTTTCCATTATTTTTGTGGCATGATCGGAGTGTACCTTACCATGTGCCTCCCTCTTCTCACACCAGTGGAGACGGTTGACGAACCATTCGTTTGTTTTCCAGAATGTCATCTCAACAATTGCAGAGATGGGGAGTGCAAGACATTCCCTATAGACGTTGTTGATACTCTCGTTTGAGTTTGTTGTGGCAATACCCCATCTGGTACCTCCGTCCTTATGAAACGTCCACATTGCAAGGTCATGTTGATCAAGCCACTGTGCACCTTCAGGGCATAGCTGACGGATATTCTCCATCTTCTCTTTAAATTTCTTCTCTTGGTACGCGACAGCTAATGAATATAAATAAAAAAAACTTAAGGTAAGGAAGACCGACCTTACCCTCAATACAAGTACACTCGTAAGACTCTTATGAGAGGTATACATCTCCTTAGAAACACAACCTGTTTGACAGAAAAAGGGGGGATCCGAGGATCGATTAGAACCCGATTTTCCCAGGTCATGGGGGGATCATGATGATCGCTTAAGTCCCACCATTTCCTTAGACATGCATTTCTTTATAAAGAGCCTAAATAAGTGTTGTATTGTATTGATTTTGTCCTCGTTTTATACAGTTGACAAAATTTATATAACAATTAATTAGAACGCTTACCGATCCACCATAGACTATCAGCAAGCTTCTTTCGCTTGAAATGATGGTTCCAGTTGCTCTTGAAATGCTGTATGCACCATCTTTGTGACCAGTTCCAGGCTGGATCCAAGCCTAAGATAGCAGCCCGTATACCGTCATGGCGAACTGAGATGATAGTCAAGTTCGTCTGCCTGGTGACATGGAGCGAAATTTTTCTGAAAAAACATCCATAGCTATCGGTATTCTCTCGCTCCACAATGGCAAAGGCTAATGGATATACTGCTCTATTTGCATCTGCTCCGCTGGCGATCAATAGAGTACCCTTGTACTTGCCGGTAAGGAATGTTCCATCAACTTGAATCACAGGAACACAGTATGGAAAATCATCAATACATGGCTTGAATGCCCAGAAAAGACGCTTGAAATGGGGCTTGTTACCAGGCACCTGCGGTTGAATTTCTTCATCTTGGTAGCGAGGCGAGAAAATGGGACCAGGGTTAGACACCTCCAACGCCAAAATCAATTTGGGAAGGAATGCATATGATTCTTCCCAGTCACCAAACACGGCAGCCATTGCTTTCTGTTTCCCATGCCACGCTTTCGTGCAGTTAATGATATAACCATAACGACTAGAAATGTCGGCGATGATGGTTTTCACCTTCAGGTCGGGCTGCTCCTCAATTAGATGTTTGATAGCCGCGGAAACCACCCTTGATTTCAACTGTCGATGGCCTTGGGATGTTATTAATGACACACATGTGTGTATTCACCGCACGGGATATTGACCCAATGGCCGACTCTCTTGCTCTTGATGGCCCGAACCCTAGCTTTGCATCCCTCATTTTCATTTTTGCATCTAACCATCAGCCTCTTTGTGTCGGAATGGGTTGTTTGCCATTCAAAACTCCGAGTCATTGCTTCAGTGGCAATAGCGTGCCGGACCTCATTCTTCATTGCAAATTGTTGGCCCTTCGTAAAGCCAGTGAGTGGGCCCCATACTAGCACCTCTGGCGGGTCCA